AATGAAGAGTATCGATTCAAATAATTGGAAATATCCTACAGCTACGTTTCATTCAATTTTACTAAAAAAGAAAACAATTATAACTTTTTCCATCGACAGTTAATCTATTGGTTTTAAAGACACTTTGCTTTTGTTACGAACTAATTGGACAAATAATCATAATACCTTTAATATCAGGTGTTTTACAGAAGTGTTTTTTAAGATCACTGTTTGTATTGTAAGAATATAACTCAAGCTGTCATTTTCTAATTTACAGGATCCATTGGTCTAAATTTTTTTGATTAAATGCTAAATTTTAGTTAGGTCTTTCTTGGCCCCTGGCGACCTTGAAATGAGGCAAAAGAATATGCCACATGAAACAAAGAACAAACTTTCCATTGACCCCATTCTATTTGGCTATAAAAATATTCAAATGCTAGGTTGATTACTAATAATGATTATCAAATTCAAACGCCTACTTGCAACAATTGGAATAATTAATAGAGAACGTGTTAATAAATTACAAGATGTGTTAGGCTCCAAGTATCCAGTCTACCAGCTAGTCTTTGATGAAATATTGTAAATATTATATATTTTTTTGTGTATGAATGTACTTTTTGATTAGCTTCGACTAGATTATGAAAAATAATTTATTCAAGATCATAAAACCCGACTAAGATTATTACTTTATCATATTTGATAACTAGGGATTATTTCGTTATGTTAGATTAATATATCTTTCCGTCTCGATACACAAAGTGTTGGCAGACTCGAGACGGGTCACAAGTTGAATCGAGGAAAATGTCGGAATGCAATACCATATTATCACATAGTCTTCCAACTTTATTTTACGGTTTTTAAACCTTACTCGGCTAGTCCCATTCATCACGTCTGCAAATATAGTACTTCCGTTTCCGGCTGGAAACATAAGATAACCTGCAGCTGGATTTATTTCTTTCTCGGTGGACAAATATCATGGAACCCCCTCCCCACCAAAAAACCCGAAGGAAAAAAGAAATGAAATGAAGCGCTAGCACCGCTCTTTAGAAAAATTAGTTTCGATTCTTCACTATATTCGTTTCGATTTTGGTTTTTTATTTTTAAATGAAACACTCGAAAGTTAAAATTGAATTTATTACTCAAACGCTTTATTACCCATGTATTTGTAAGAATAATTTCAATAATAAATAATAATATTATTGCCAAGACGCGAAGCCTATTAAATAAATGTCTTTATTGGGTATGGTAATCCGCAAATCTCGATTTAAATAAAACGTGTTTTCAAGGTTAATTAAGTTAATTAATAAAATTACATCATTGTCTTGTTTCGTGATCTTGAGTTGTGACTGATGGTCAGACATTGAACAATACTCTTGCAGCTGTCGCCAATTCAGACATGCCACAATCGCTGGCGTGTTTGAAACTGAGTTCACAAATGTAGTCTCTGAACATCCAAATAGTACAGCTATGAGTACATTCTAATGGTTTTATTTCCAAGTTGTTCGTGGCAAAACTAATAACTAACAAGAAAGATGACATCCGGTATAAGTGATAGTTATTTTACTAGGATAACAACTTAGATTCACAAGGATCCTTTCTACCGGCTAGTCTTCGGCCAAACCTCTTGGCATTAAACTTTCCGTATTATCTGTACCCCTTTACAGCTGGATCGACTGGAATAATAAGGAAAGAGGACTTATTCAAGGTCGCCAGTTTGGTGATTAGAACCCACAACCACCATTTGTTCGACATTACCAAGCAAATTACGTCATGCAAAGTTTACAACACTCTAACCGACTGTGCTGTCCTCTTAAAATCAAAAACCACAGGAGCAGAACTGTCTGTATATAACACGTAAGAGTAGTTTAAGTACTTAATGAAGAGCTTATTAGTCCACTTTGAATAGGTGACAAAAAGTCTGGCAGGCGACGTTGTTTGTACGAGCTGGAGCTTAATTCCATTATTTTCTGGTCATATTTAGCAACCCTGCCTCGCCGTTTCTTATATACTTATTATCTTACTAACTACATTGAGTGAGTAACTTTAAACTTATTATATTGACCAAGCTAATGAAGTTCCTGTCAAACAACAGATTTTAATGTAAAAGACTATCTCCTTTCAGTAATGTTTTTAAAGTGATAGTTGATGTAATGCGTTTTATGGATTTCGTCTCATTTCTTCATTATGGAATATTGAAAACAATATTTTAAGTCATTGCTTTATTGATATAGAATGATTGAAAAAATCATTAGATATAGAGTTGTTCCTGATTGTTGTCTCGTGATCTAATTACTATATTACTGGTCGAGGAATAGAAAAGTCTGTCCTTATTTAGAAGATTTCAACTCTCGAATCAACGCCGGACTGTCTGCAATCATACGACCTACTGACTTCGCAGGTTCATTGGTTTATCGAATTGTTCTGATTACTTTGAATTTGAATATCTAAAAGGACTATTCGGTTTTGAGTGTCGCTGTGCTGATAAAAAAAATTAATGTACACACTAGCACTTGTTATCGCAGAGGACAAAATTTCTGGCTATCTTTTGGTTGAAGTGTTAAGAATGAAAGTGTATTTCTATACAATGTAAACTTGCAGTGTTACATTTTTATTATCGTTAAATTATTCTGTTATTTTTAGTCGTGTTTTGAAAGTGATATGCAAATTAACATTGCAGAAATTAACGAAGTTCGATATACATACACCAACGAATATGGGAAGACAGCCATCATTTTTCTTCACGTTGATCAAGCCTTTACTAATCGATCCAGGACATGAGTAACACTTACCTAGATCAACTTCAGTTTTATTGCCATCATTATTTTCAGAAAAATGACCAGAAATAGTTATCTCTTAACTGATGTCGATGATTTTTCTGCATTCGGTCTTAATATAGCTATTTTGGCAACGATTTTTTTTCTATTCTAGTCACCGAGACCGTGTAAAATCTATTTTATATGTTGATTTGAAAAAGAAAATCCTCTTCCTCCCCTTAGCAGGTTTTCGTTTTTCCAAATGTTCAAAGTTGCCTTTAGACAGGATATTTCCCAAAACAATCTAAGGCCTAATGTGATCATTGTTGGAAATATCCGTCATTTAGAACAATTTATAGCAATATTTTTGATAAACAGGATCTTGTTCTGTTACCATTCTCATATCTGTATCGAATTTTATAAGGCATCAACCCTCTATACATGTGGGATGGAATTTATGTAACAACTTGATTTGTCTATAATACCTTATTCCTTGGGTGATCTCTGCATTGTTAATTTCAATGATAACTATTTCACGGCAGTATGATTATCTGTACATTGTCTTTCGCTGGTATGAAAGATTGTACCCATGAGAATTGAAATATATTGCACTTATCTTCTGCTTTTATTTGGGCCCTACAGGGCGGGAAACATGCATTGTTAATTTGCCAAGAGACAGTGACATTACTTTGCTCTTTAAGATAGCATTTTTTCAGTGATCTTAAAAGCGCAGCATTAGTAGCACACATTTTTTGCAGGGGTGGCCCATTCACAAATTTTAAGCCTCTTACCATGTCAGTCTCTAAAACGAAAAACCAAAGATATCATTCTGGAAGCAAACCAGACACATGTTAGCTAACAACGTTATTAAACCAGCCCACTTATTCTCCTTGTAAAAAAGGGACATTTATAATTGAATGCTAGTATGTGTACTGTACGTTTGCTCTGGGCCATCGTAGCCAGCCTGTTGGTACTAATGGAAACAACAAAGCATGATGTACTTGTACCTTAACAAGTGCTCCAAAGACGTAAATTTCTTCACACGATGGTACATTGCCTTCAGATACCACGTTGACTCGTGTTATATACATGTAACGCATTTCGGCAATTTTGCCAAAATGATTTTCTATTATTTATTATTAAGAGTTATTTTGAATTATCGTGTATTTAATAAGTCTCATATTTCTAAATCCGTAGTAAATTCATCGTGTACTGAACACGTTATTTTTTTTTATCTTCAGTATATTGAAAACGACTCTGAAACCTCGTAGCCAAGCCTAATTGCAGACGGCTTAAAATCCTCAACATGTTTCCGATATGTTATTTCTGGAAATTCTCATCAACAATATCGAATACCACCTGATTTTAACGAAGCGTGATTATTCGTGACTTCAGGAAACGTGAGTTCGGAATTACACACTTAATTTACGTTTTAGTTGAACTTGAATAAAGAAAATATGTAAGATTGAGAAAATTATGGAAAATTAGCTGTAATCAAGGATATTAAAGTAGTAAATTGAGAACAGGAAAAAAATCCACAGAAAATTGGTTCATTCACAGATCAAACAAAGATTCCAATCAATGCTACTTCTACCGAGATTTTGTCCAGAATGCTACTCACGAATTTGATGTCAATGAGCAAAAAGCCTCGTCCTAACCTTCCAACATAAACCTATCTATTTTAGCTTTGACCATATTAACGAAGTCAATCATTTCATAACGACATTGGCTCGTGTGTAGCATAAAAATGGCCATAAAGTAAGAGATTTATAATGCAATTGCTGTTGTGGTATTAGTCGTATCGGAACTCATATGGCCCAATTAACTTGTGATGTATAAGACGTTGGGGTCTTATGGCTAAATTGTCTGTACTCATTTTATAGAATTAAAGGAACAAAGGTTTCATCTTTTTATTTATAGAAGATCAAACAAAAGACGTAACGTAGCTTGAATTTGTCAGGATGGTCGCTATTGTAAGAAGTTTTTATTTGCCTGATGCTACAGCACAATCCCATGATTGTACTTTAGAATTCTGATTTGGTTGTAGATTATTCTTAATGTCACTAGTAAATTGAGATGGACCAAAACAGTTATTATAGTTGGCGGAAATAACATTTTTGATTTATTTATAACCAATATGCAATGTGATATTATGTCATTGTTACCAATTCATCGTCACAATGTACGTATCTTGATTTTTATTTCTGAATTGTATATACATTAGTGAGAGATAAGATCATAGTGTAAATGGCTGGATCAACTGGTTTTTCATCTTTTGTTCGTCGATGCATTGTTTTCAATATGTTGAACATGGTTGCTTTCAGTCTCATCAAGATCTCCTGCTTCTCTTTTGAAACTATGCACATCTATTCCCCCAAGATCGTCGAAACCTCTTTTGTTTCCATGGACGTTCATTCCTCCATGACTATTTAATTTGCGCTTGAAATCATCTGCTTGTATTGTATTTAGATCACGCAAAGCTCTTTTGTAACCATGTATATTCATTCCTCCTAGGTCGTCAAAGTTACGTTTAAAACTGTGGACATGTATACCACCAAGATCATCTAGCCCGCGTTTGAATCGGTGAACGTTAATTCCAAACCCGCGTTTAAAACCATGTACGTTCATTCCACCAAGACCATCAAAACTTCGTTTAAATCCATGCACGTTTACCCCACCAAGATCATCCAAACCGCGTTTAAAGCCATGTACATTCACTCCTCCTAGGTCATCTAGTCCTCGCTTGAACCCATGAACGTTTACACCACCTAGATCGTCCAGGCCTCGCTTGAACCCATGAACGTTTACACCACCTAGATCATCCAAACCGCGCTTGAATCCATGAACGTTTACACCACCTAGATCGTCCAAACTGCGCTTGAACCCATGAACGTTTACGCCACCTAGATCGTCCAAACCGCGCTTGAACCCATGAACGTTTACGCCACCTAGATCGTCCAAACCGCGCTTGAACCCATGAACGTTTACACCACCTAGATCATCCAAACCGCGCTTGAACCCATGAACGTTTACGCCACCTAGATCGTCCAAACCGCGCTTGAACCCATGAACGTTTACACCACCTAGATCGTCCAGGCCTCGCTTGAACCCATGAACGTTTACACCACCTAGATCGTCCAAACCGCGCTTGAACCCATGAACGTTTACACCACCTAGATCGTCCAAACCGCGCTTGAATCCATGAACGTTTACACCACCTAGATCGTCCAGACCTCGCTTGAACCCATGAACGTTTACACCACCTAGATCGTCCAAACCCCGCTTAAAGCCATGCACATTAACACCACCTAGATCGTCCAGGCCTCGCTTGAATCCATGAACGTTTATACCTCCTAGATCATCCAAACTGCGCTTGAACCCATGAACGTTTACACCACCTAGATCGTCCAAACCGCGCTTGAACCCATGAACGTTCACACCACCAAGATCATCCAAGCCGCGCTTAAAGCCATGTACGTTTACACCACCTAGATCGTCCAAACCGCGCTTGAAACTGTGTACATTAATGCCACCTAAGTCATCTAAGGCTCTTTTATGACTAGATTCTTTAGATACTTTCAATAAGTTCTTTAATTTTTCAAAAAATTGTTTATTTTTAGAGGGATTTGAATTTCGTTTAAAACTATGAACAAAAGCACCACCGAGAGTGTCAAAATACCGTTTTTCAGCACTTTCATCTACATCATCATAATCTGATATCGTGAACGACTCTTCACTCTTTTTATTCATCAGAGGGTATAACTCTTTTTCTCGTCTTACTTCATTCTTTTGAGTAACCTGAAAAATGGGAACATGTACATGTATTTGACCTTTTAAGGGACTGTCTCAGATGAAAGAGTACCAGAAACTCCACACCGAAGAGCAATTTCATAAAAGGGCGTAACAGAAATATTTTGTTATTAGTGCCAAAATTAAATATTTAAAAATTGCGCTATTGGGTATCTCTTATTCGTTAAAATATATTTATATTAGGATCATTTAAAACTGGTCATGATTTAACTTCAATATGGACATTTTTATACAAAATTGTATGTTGCCTGTATCGTGCAGTTTATTTAATATCTCAAACAAGAACTGGCATTTTACACGACCTTAACCATATATCAAAGATTCAATTTTTTTAGTTTACATAAAAAGCCATATAACGGTCTGTGAAAGGTTAATAAGCAAAAACATTTAGCACTGAACCGACTGAACTTTCTTTGATGGGACATGTCTATGAGGAAACAAAAAGTAAACATTACTCAAAGACACAAAACATTTAACCAACAATTAAGAGACGAGTACATCAATAAACAATCGAATTACAGCGTAGTTTGATATTCTGAAAACAGCCTTGTATCCATAACTTTGCCTCTTGTTTCCAGTTTGACAGGGAAAACGTCACGGTTGTTGTGCCAATAATATATATTTTGTTGATCTCCAACCCCCGTGACGGTACAGAAAAGTAGAACTTAACATTTCATTTCATTTCCAAGCACCTGTGATCTCCAATAGAAACGTGGTAGGTACCTACAAAATCAACAAATCCATGAAGCAAATTTTATAAGCTGACAAAAGTCATTGAGGTAGACATGATGGATAAGCTGTCAGAAAAGGTTAGGGCACCAAACCCACTGAAAACAGGTCGTGTTTATTTTGCAACAAGTCTCAGGGATTCGCATTTTTTCAGAAGGGAATATTAATTGACATACGATTCTTAACTGAATTTTCAGTTTTGTGTTTACAGCCGACTGTTGAAATAGTAAGTTAATTGGTATATTTTTCAAACAATTGGTTATTAAACTTTTCAATTTAAGGAAGGTTGTGTCGTATTTGACATTTAGTTCTTATAATATTAGTTTGGTGCCATCATTGTTGTTTACAATCACAAATTCCACTGGTATCGATTCTACTTCTAAATGTGTATTTATATTTTCCTGGAATCCATAGAAACTGTTGGTTATCTTCGAAAAATAAAGCTTGTTTCATTTGTACGGTTTTCCCCTGCGCTTATGCAAAGTATAATCAAGGCAATATATTTGAAGGCATTAAGACAGATACGTATCACAGACCAAACTGAAAGCAAAGTTATACAATGTCGGTGCGGCTCTAATTTTTAAAATCCAAAACTTTCGTAATCTCGTCTGACAAAATGCAATGGAAATGTCATAAATAAATAATACAATCTGTTTGCCATTCCCATTAGTCACAGTATCTTGCTATTGATATGAACACACCCTTTCTTGCACAAATTGATACAGAATATAATTATTCATTGACTGTTTCGTTCTGAGCGGGTAAATCCTTTGACATGTTCCAGTGGCTGATATTTCTGTTTTCGTTCTTCTTCTTACTGACACAACTAATAAACATAAACAACGTCATAATAGTGTGCAGTTCAAGAAAGTTTGTAAAAACAATGTCAAAACCAGTCATACGCTTTCAAAACGTCGAATGTTACTAACCGAAATCTTTTCAATCTGTATCACACTGGGTCTGGTTAATGTCCTTTCCAAGCAACTGAGTAGCCTAGTTTTGGCTACATTTTAAACAGTTTTACCTAGACTGTGGTAGAAAATTAAAATGCATACAAAAAAGTCATTTAGGCGAAGCATAAAATCATCTTTTCAAAAAAAAGTTGTCAATTTGTATCTTCTTATTCGCGTTATTGTTATTTCTAACAATACAAATTGGAGACCTACCTTGTCCGATGGATTAAGTTATAGATATTTCTGGTCTAAGTTTCGGGGGCACACATGCCTAATTTCTATTATTTATCTGGTTCAAATTCATCATTAAATCACAGTGATACAAAAGAAGATGGACGAAATACAGAAGTAGTAGTAGGAGAGGGAGAATGAGGTGATATGAGGTAATCAATGAGAAGAATACATAATAGGAGTACATATATTCTAGAGTATTATAAAAATTCATTAAGATAAGTAAATAAGCTATTAAAACACCATTAGAATCTATAAGCTATTTAAGAACAGTCTATTATGCCTCCTAATTTGTTTATAGGTATCAATAGCGATGTATTGGTGTATTGGTAAAGAAACCACGGATAATCGATTAACCTTTTATCCCTTGTATTGACTTCATCCGGACCAAACATATTGAAAGAGCTTCCACAGTTCATCGAATATTCATTTATTCACTATATTGAATTCGACCATTGTTTTTCTATTGTATAAAATAAATATGAAAGGAGATCAAGCAATTGGGAATCTGTTTTTATAGACAATGTGTTTTGGTGCATATGAAATACAGCTTGTTCTGTTGGAACTTAATATCACTGATCCGGAGCTAACAAGACAGTCATTAGACCAAAGTAATCTTAAAACAATACACGAGTCCTTTCAATAATCAATAATCAAAATAAGGATATAATTGGCGGTTTTACGACAGGCTAATTCAACTGATATTAAATCAAAATTGTAGTTTTTGCTCACAGGGCCACGTGAGCACCATAATTATGTGCAAAGTTGTCAAGATGTTTCCTAAAAACCAAACCAAAAAAGATGTAACTTTAGGACACAGTGGAAATGAAATATCCAAAATACAAAGTACTTCTATTATCTTGGTTGAATCGGGTTGATTGTCAAGTATGTTTCATTGGCATTCCAATTGTTTCCTAAGTTATTCTTTCTTGTCGATAATGACATAGTTTATGCTTATAAGTTATGTGAATTTTCCGAAATGCCTCCAGTGGTTCAAAGGAAATATGTCTTTTCAGTTGTTTAGATGCAAAAAAACGGGACCGTACATCACAGATTTGAGCTCTTGATCATTAGTTTTCTCAATGATTGCAAAGTAAATTATCATAAGAACTACAGAAAATACATTAATATTTTTGTTTCATTAATTAACTATTTATGGGCTTCGTAAGACAGGTAAGATAGTCTTACTAAACCAAACCAAAACAACGACCACCATTAAACTAACAGACAAAAAATAATTTAAAAGAGTTTTTGGAAGATTGAGTAACTCATACCAAAACGTCCAAGTTTCTCGTCCACGCTCAGATCTGAAGATTTCAAAATACCAACAGTACCAAACCATCCAAGACTCTAGTACCGCGACATCTCCTACCGCAACTACCAGCTGCCTACTCGATATCGACTTTTACTGGAAACGGACTTGTCATTACAGTCCTTCAGATTTGAAATTAAAAAAGAAGATGAAATCCAAACCAATTTGAAAAGAAATAGATAACAAGGCTAAAATTTATTATCAGAGACTAATATCCATTCATACTTTTCTTGAAAATTAACTGAAAAATAAGATACTCTTAGTAACAATTTGTGTGACTGGAATTTACGCAAATGGTGTCTTTAAAGTCATATCAGACCAAATACGAGTTTATATTATCAAATCATAGCCATAATTAGAAACGTTTATGACGTTGGTCACTAACTATCATTATGCCACAGACTGTTGTGTGGTTAAATGTGGGTAGGGATTAACGATTTTAATTTCTGAGTTTGATATTGAGATCTATCACGTGTTGATGAAATACTGGAGTAGAATTTGTAATATTCTTGGGTCTGATTTTTATTTAGTGGTAGTAGTTGCTGATTTAAAATGCTTATTTCGACCAATTTATATCTGAGCAAAGTTAAGTTTAAACTAGATTTTATAACCTTTGCTCTAAAAAGTTATAAGGAAATGAAGTTTAAAAACCGAAGATTACATCCTCTATTGACATTTATAGGAAAGCCTAAAATGATTTTAGAATGTTAACGAACGAAAAATAATTTTATTTTTAAACCCTTTTTCCTGTTTCTCAAAACTTTGAAATTTCAGGGGAAATTATAACATTTCCTAGGCGACGTGAGAAGTCGATACTCAAAACGGTATATTATTGTTTGAACAAGTCGTTAACGAAACGCTTATCAATTTCTTAATATAAAGGTAGATAACTCCAGTAAACTCAAATCAGACCATTATTAAGTGACATCATTGCATTTAGATACTGAGAAGCAAACGTATTCAATAATGCTTATGAATCGTATGATTGTTATTTAAGCATGTTCATTTCACTACCGTTATGTACAGATATTTTTAAGATACTTATGTTTTTAATATGCTTTTCTACATTTATTTACTGCATGTCCTGAATATTACGGTACTTACTATGCAACTTTCACTTCAGACTAAACCATTATGTCGATTGCCGCATTTAACCGAGTATCAGTTTCTTTAATTTAGTCTGTAACATTGCTTCAATATTGTTGTAACAACATCCTGTCGACGTCTTTCATGTATTGCATCAGATCTATTGTGCGAATTACTGAGTTTATTTCAGTTTCGTTAAAGTACAGGATATAACGATAATTCTGTGTGAGATTGGGAGGTCATCATTTGGATAAGGTTAAGACGCACCTAAGTACCAACATAATCTTAACTTTATAAATAGAAAACCGTTAAGAGCAGCAGGAACCATCTGTGATGGTATAATACCTGTATGATTGCTGTAAAAGAAAAAAAAAAGCTGGCTCGCTAAAAAGATATAGCACGATTTCCGGAAAACTTGTTTACACTTTGTGACTCTTTTATGTCCGCTGGACATCCCATCCACATAGTTCTAATAACACAGTGTTATTTTGCTGGGTCTGGGAGGTCACCAAACCTGGCTCGCTCATATATCACGCCTTCAGGAACGCTCGTTTTCACTTTGAGTCAACTGGACACCCCATTCGCAGAGTTCAAATAACTTTACTGTTTACCTTTCATCACGAAAACAACAAGCCCATCAATATTGATTTTGTCCTGATTGGTTTTGAAAAGTCCACCTGTTGATAAATCCTAAATAATAACATGTAGTTAATAATATATGATTGCTCTCAGAAGAAACCGTATGTATTGTATCCCTCCCAGTACCGAAGAAGATTTATTGTTAGTAATTATGGGTATAGAAAGTATTCTAGTAATTAAATGACTGACACGACAAACAATTAATAGACACTAGTTGATTAATATTAATCAATGTATTATTATTTTTCTTAATAGATTACTGGATGTAATTATGTTATATCGATCTGGGCATTTTCTTGTAAGTGTCAACTCATTTTTAGATTATATCCACTGTTGCTAAAGTTCTGAAATTTTATTAACAGAAAGCAGATGTTTACAGTCATATTCTTCTAAGCAGGATATAATGATGATTTATTTGGAATACGGGTGGTACTGTGTACGAGTCAATGAAAAAAAATATTTGTCTTTGGAATTTGAAGCAATTATTTAGCTTAGTGCGACTTGGCTATTTTTCGCGGAACAAGTTTGAGCTTTTGACTCAGTTTAAACCCGTCAAAATCTGTTCATATAGAATAGAAACTACAATCTTTTTTTGAAGAAACTTGATATGATCATTGTAATCAACAAGGTCCCGGTTTTGGATTTATTGCTCTCTTTCATGGGATCTTTATATTTCAACTTCCATTTTTCGATAAACATTGTGATTTTTCAGTTCTCATCATACAAGCCTACTTCAGTTTAGTCAAATAAGCATTGTATGGAACAATTCTGTAGATTAGGCTACCATAATGGCAAAGGGTCATTAATGTTTTGACGGCATGCATAGCTAGGACATAGTAGCCCTTGGCGTTTTGATATTTTGACGGAAAAAAAATCTTCCAAATTCACTTTAACTTCTTGGATGACTTGCTCAATTCTTTTTATCAAGTTCAATTGTACTTACAGGCTTACAACCCATATTAGGCACTTCCATCAAAATCCTATATCAGTAAATAACCAATTAACTCGACCTGACAAGAGATGGAACATCTTTTTGATATTTGTCTAACCAGACAAAATCGGAAGAGGCAAAATACTTTCCACAGTCTGTCATTTTGTTCAACGACAAAATCGATACAATATTTTGTAAGACCTGGATCTGTTTGTTCCTAGTTAACAGTAACACTGGTAATTTACCAAAGTTCGTGAAAAATCATAATTGAAAAATGGTAGTTAGACCAAATTGAGAAAGACGCCACCATAAGTGTCCTTTATAGACAGTGATTATAAAAAAAATAATAGTTGGCCATTAATTGAAACTTGGGTATTGTTAGACTATATAAATAGCGATTCCTGAATGCTTCCACGTCCATGCCATTATAGTATCTTAACTCAAAATGAGCCATTGATATTTTAAGCTTTCTATAGCTAAAGTTATAGGGTAATGTTGATGCATTGTGTTTCTTTTGGCATCCAGCCCATACCGTTATTTCACATGTCTTCACTGTCAGAAGAGACCATAAATAAACTAATATCAGCCCAAGAATTTTTTGTAAAATTAATATGTTTATAATCATTAGATAAGATGATGGAAGTGCACTGCAGATATACATTCAAATGTTCAACACAACCTACTCGTATTTCAGCCATGTTTCCTGGGATAATAGGGGGGGGGGGGGGGTATATTTCCAACGAACATGCGTTGTTGTATTGTGGCGAAGAAAAACAAGCCGTTTTACCTATTGACAATAAATGTAATTGACGAATCCATCAATTTGTTAGTTTTTATGTTAAAGGACAAATTACAAAGTGCACGTACACTAATCGATCAGATGTTCTTGGTTAATCAAATAGAAATAAATTCCTTTGAAATGAACAGTCTTCACAAAAATCTGATTTTCAAATGCATTCATGACAAACAAGTTAACATTTTCTGATTCTGAAAAGTACGATGGCTGTTTTTATTCGTGAAAGGTAACGTAAAACGTAACGTAATACCTTTTTTGCTGTTCTATCTGTATAATTTCTGTACGTTTCTTTGAGTTCAATAACATTACAGTTAAGTCGTAGCTAGTTTATGGAAGACACCCATCTGCTGTGGAGCTTTATTTTTTTTTATTAGTACTTTCAGTCACCAACTCATATTGGGGATAAGAAATTCTGCATTATCATGTACTCTAAGGATTATGTCTATATAACACAGTAATAAGTTTTGAAACACAAGGTCGAAAAAATATACTAAGCTAATTAGCTTAGACCTGTACATTTGGGAGAACCAAACCCTCCCTTCCCCGAAATCTAGTTCTTTTTCTCTGATACTCGAACAGAAGGCGTAGTATATGAGCTGTTGTCAATTGTTATATTAAGTTTCGAAATCCTTTATAAAAAATAAATGTTCTTTTATGGGTGATTTAGTTCTGCTCTTTTGCCTTTGAAATAAGGTAATGGCAGTTTGTCTAGAATTTCATTATCAGATTTTAATTGGCTTTTCGTGATGTGTATTAATTGTAAATGTAGTGCTCTGCAATTTAAATATTTCAAGCATTCGTGAGATTTGAAGAATGTAAAATTAATGAGTGAATGGTCCTATTTACATACTGAACATCTGCAACACAAGTTACACTGATTGACAATTGCTTCAACTACAGCTACTTAATTAAGCACCTCTTTTCATCCGATTCTAAATCAGTCGTATTTGACAATCGCAGTACCATAGTTAAGATATACACGGACGTCAGCTCTTGGAAGAACATGTCGTGGAATCATAAAGCGTTCTCAACTGATGAGATTGGAACCTACAATATCTGTGAACTTGGGGTTCATTCTAGACTCTTTCTAAAAACCTTGCGGCAGTGCCACTATAATTCACAGAAGCATATTATCTAGACAATAGAATTTTCACCAGAGAGCCCACGAAGAGTACGAATTCAAGTATTCAAACTGAGCCTTTGAGAATATGTCCGAAAATCCCGGGTTCAAAATGGAATTTCAGACATGTTAAGGCCAAGATATATTTTTTGTTCTGCAACTTGATTTTTTGTCAAAATGCAGCCGATTTGTTTTAAAATCAATTTAGTTTTTGAAATTGTCTATGATTTGCATATTATTTTACAACAAAGCACTAAACAATTCCACTTTATTGATTTAAAAAAAAATCCTAACTTCACACGGCCAAGATCAAGCTGATGTGATTTCCGTATATAAAAAACTAACAATTTGAATTCATTGACCCAGAAGGGTTAGGGTATAATTTTACTAGTCTGTAAGGATTAGTCTCAATCAGAAATAGTTATTAAGCACGAAACTGGAGTCAAGAGAACACATGTGATTATCATGCAAACTTGAGTATGATTGTATATTTGAATTACGATTCTTGCTTTAATTACACCTTTGATAAACTCAGTGGATATGAACGAAATCGAGTTTTATGTCCTAGTTTTCTGTTTCTGAATTTGACCACGAATAAGAACAAGACTCTGCAATGTGTACTGAGAGTAATGGTACCTAAACAAATGCAATTTTCACTTTGATGATTAAAGCGCAAAGACTGTTGCACAAGGGGCTTCAAATGACTAAACACAGTTTCCTTAGGGTCATCCGCCTTGCATCACTGTAAAGGGGAAACCTCGTTTTAAAATTTGAAGATAGTACCTTAACCTATTCCAAAATCCAATTTTGCACTTCAGCCCGTGGAAAAGAATCTAGATTTTCTGTCAGTAGGGTTTTTGGACGGCTCTTATATGTCAGCATCTTCGAATTTACTAACAGAAGGAAACCGAGTTGACAAATAACATGAATGTAAATATGACATGTAGGGAAAGTGGATCAGTATATTCGTCGAGCTAGCATATTGAAGATAATATAGATTACGTTTTTATTAGAACAGTGCATTAAAACAAAATGAACTGCGCCATAAAAGATACATTCGACACATCGTTAAAACAGACCCAGATCATTCCTTATCTTAAGCGTCCAAATATACTTGTTGGTATTACCAAACATCTGCCAAAAAATATCACAATAAATGGTAAGACGTATGTCAAATTTATAGTCAGTGCCATATTAATTTAATGGCATTCACGAATAATTGATAGAGTTGTCCTGTCCGTATTATTTATTGGTAAAACCATGTTCCATTATAAGTACATGCTTAAATGATCATTTTCCAGAACATTATTAAAAGACAATAATAACCAAGGTCATATTACCACTATGGAATTTACGATGAATATATTATTTAATGTTTAAATACAACTGTAATTTTATGCAAAAGTTGGTCAGTAAACAGATTCTCACAACAGGTTTGACCAACAACTATCATAAAAATATGTTTTTTTTGTTGAACAAGATCCGAAAATTGTTATTCTTGGTTTTGACAACACGACTGTTTTGGAAAACAACGCAAGGCCAAGGGAAAGACACATAATTGTAGAATTTTCGAAATATTACGTAGCATTTTGTTTTATTCAATTGAATGAACCAAGCCATGCTATACAGCAAACTTAAAAGTAACATGGGCAAGACAAAATAATTTATGATAGCTGACAGTAAAAGTGTTGACCGTCAACATAATTTCAGTTGACGACTATAATAATTATAAGGACTTAGGAATATTATCTATTAAAATAAATAATAAATAACCCATATTACTGCATGGGGACATTAAATGATAATAAATATAAATAATGTATGATAGCATTAACCCTGATTTTATATACAGCCTCTACATGTGGATATTAGAGATCGTGCACTCGTTCTGAGTAAATCGAACTGCACCTAATAAGGTGCAGCAACGAAGGGCGTAAGACAAATTTCATTTGAACAAGAGTATATTTCCATTAAAGACTTTTACATTGGAAGAATTTTCTTATATTTTGGTAAAGGGGGGTGGGGAGGTTGATTCACCCAAATTTTATAGGCCAAGGATGAACCAAATACTTACTTAAGAAAATGACAAAATCGCTCTTCTGCTTTCACTTCTAATTCAATAAGACTTAAATTTGTTGATCAAATTTTTAAATTTGTTTAAATTTTGGTTCACATTTCATTAAGAATACTAGTATTATAAATGTTTCTGAAATTGGTCCCCTTATCGAAACATCATTTTTCTAAAGAATTATGTGTGGTGACTTCTAGCATGACTGAGTCAAACAAATTCTAAAACAAACTAAATAGAAAACTCTAAGTAAATATTAAGCTTAAATTAAACTATTATTCACTATTGTTGTTTAAAACGCTTAACAAATCAATTCAGTGTAATAATGGACATACTTGATTTAATCAACAATCAAAACACAATCCTTGTGGCAATGTGAAGCATTGTACAAAAATTACATATACATACAAATAAACGACAGTACACACAAGTGAACAAGTGTACATGCACCATATTAATATATATGCGGTCTCTCTTCGCAAAACAAGTACTTCTGTTTTCGGAGATGAGATCTCCTCTACCAATTTTCTGGTGGAGATCACAAGTTCTTTAGTTCATGATAAATGTTATCAACGAATTTGAGCACCTCGACAAAAATTTGCTGCAGTGAATTTCTTAAACGAGATACTATTACTGTTATACTCATCCTCAGATAATAGTATTTTTTTGGGCGTTTGGCATCTTGACAGGCTAGATTTTGGGCGTTCAAGATTTAAATAGATCCATGCACACATACTGAGTAAAAAATATATTAATATCATTTTTTTTTTACTTACCTTAGTTTCCAGTTGTGAAGTTAAAATACTGGAGATTTTACAGCAGATAAAGATCTCTAAACAGAGCATATAAACTTTGGAAAGCATGATGGTGGACTTCTTCAACTTCTGTTTCTCTCCTTCAGAATGATGAAATGTTGGCTTGCACTGAATTACACGTCAAGGTGTAATCTTGTTGGTCTTTGGCAATTCTTTCATTCAAAAATAAATATTATAGAAATATAGTTGGTGCTAACAAGGAATTAAACGTCCACGACTGTTCAGTTGCAGGATTCCGCTTTATATATCAGCCTCGTCATTATGATTAACTGATTTCCATTCAATTTGCCAGTAATGACAAGAGGCGGGACAAAGATTTATTTACGCAGGTCTGTGGGTGGCACCAACAAGCGTTCATGTTAAAAAGACTATTAACAATTTGTGAAAAAAAAACCTGGTCAATAAAAACGTGAACTGCTCATGTAGATGATTAAGAATGTAATCGAAGTGTTTTCTTGGTGAGAAAAGCCACCTGATGATTCTCGGCAATTTCAAGCAAGTCTTTTGTTTTACACTAAAATAACCATTCTGGTGTAGGCTTAGAAAATAACTTGCATGATTCTATTCTTCGGGTCACAACTTTTTACTAAGTTGCTGATTCATGACAGATCACAACACCACGAAATCATCGAGTGCTGTGTAACTTAAGTCGTTTATTATTGTCAAACATCAAAGCTTGACGGGAATCATGAACGATTCGTTTACGAAATAAAATTCTTCCATTAAGTGCACTATCATTCGGACACGGAAATGTGCATCGGTAAAACACTTCAAGATTATGCGTATACAAGTAACGGCTTTCACCAGGCCCTAGTTTTCGGCTGAATGGAACAAACAGTTCTATAAACTGAGCTTTACGCCCCACTTTTCTGGGTCTGATTGGACTAGCTATCGTGGACAGTCCTTGTATCCTAACGTCTTTTTCAAGAATAATAGTTGTACAATAACAAAAGTACTACGCATATATAATAGTTCAGTTATTCTGCCCCAAACTAAATGTATATTGTGCTGTTCGGGATTTGATTTTTTTTTAAAAATGACCCAAAGCGTGCCATATTAAATATCCTTTGTTCCTTTAGCGATTCTGCTTTAATGACATTCAATGACTTTAAGTTAATCTGCACTTCATAAACACTATTTACTTTAAAATTTTTATGAACGAACTGACATGATCGGTGTGCCTGATAAATAACTATAATAGATCTCGGTTTCTGTGTTAATGAACAAAACGAACTGAAACTTAACGCCCCCGAAAATGACCAATGACCGAAATGGTAATTTAAAAGTAGAAGAAAATAAACTAGAGCGAATATAGCACAGAAGCGTGACTAGACCCTTATGCAGAAAATATCACCAGGTTATCCAAAATGTGAAGATGTTCTGTGATCCGTAAAATGATTGCTATCGGCTTTTGAAATTTTACTGTATGTTATGATATATTCTTGTATTCTTAGTATAATGGTTACATAATCACATAATAAAAATGCTCCTTACATTTTGTTAAATCCACAGTTTGAATGTTCTGCGATCTGTTAAATGATTGCTGCCAACTTTTGAAATTTGACTTAATGTTTTAGATGGGTATTTTCTCGTTGGGTATATGATTGGTCAATATTACTCATCTTCTTCGAGAAGCGAAGGTTAACAAGACATGTACAACCAACACCCTTCAGTAGAACAAATAACTACGGTCGGCTAAATCAGTTACACAGGATGTTCTGCGAACAGAAAAAGATATATCTGGGTTTGAACATAGGTTGGGGAATCACAAAAACTGTTGCCATTTAATGCGAAGATTTAGTTCGGTTTTGTTTTGCTCTGGAGGGCAATATAGACGAGTGATTTCAGCTGTAATCGGATTTTGAATGACTAGTTTATCCGCTATAAGATCCTTACTTGTAATTCATACATCCAGGTGTTTTAACATAACATGCTACCAAGGCCGGCAAATACCTGAGTTAGAATGAAAATAGTAAAAAGTATAATAGACGGAAACATTTTTATTAGAATTTTAAATATTTTTCTTGTACAAGAAGTAATGAAAAACAGCCCGTTAACGTGCAACTAAACACTATCAACGATGATATGATCTCGATAATCTGTATGTAGTCACTTCCGACTGTGCAATGAGGAAAATTTCTCCGGGATTGCATCATTATCGAAATCTTTTTCGATTTCCAACTGTCGAGGGATCTTTAACATGAACAGCCTGTAGCACACAGGGCCTCGATTTATTCTCCCATACGAACGACTACATGCTTTTTCCATATCAGCACCGCCGACCTGCATAATTAACGAGGGAAACCGAGGTTTATCTCTACCTATGTCGGACCCTCAGGTTATTTAGGAAACAGAAATAATGAACTGGGAAATAGATTGTATATATTAATTAACAATTAAAATTAAGTATTCTTGACATGCAAAATTCCATCGCAAATGCACAATGTTACCAAGTACGTGAAAAATAAACTAAAGCAAGATTATCTAATTTCAAACACTGTTTGGCTACTAGAGTATTTGAAGATATCGTAATTATTTTAAATGTAATCAAGTGTAATAAGTACACACATATAGGGATAATTAATTGTCGATTTTTCACGTGCCTGCACACTATTTAATAAGCTTTCTAAAACAATAAAATGCAAGCCTTACATATACTTTTCAGTGAATAATAGCACATACTTAGTTTGAAGGACAAGGGCGGCTATAGGAAACCAATTAGTTAGGTTTACATAGACGTAATTTGAAATCATCTTTTTGTCGTCCACAATTCAGCGCATACCTACTTAGCAGGATTCTACTTACTAGAACTCAGCTGGTATTAGTTTTGTCCCAGTTTGTAGTAGTCTCTGTTCGCTTGAGTTTTGATTCGAGATTCGACGATGCATAGTTTGGTTACCAATATTTAAAAAGTATCGTAACAATAGTCAGGATTTTTTTTTATTAAATTTTTTTTTTTCAGAAAAAAGAGACATATAGTTTCCATTTGGTCTTTGAACGGGGTTGACTGATTTTGATCAATTTTTTTAATTGTTGATTAATGAGTTAAATTTTCAGAATTAGTTCGACGGAGTAAACATCTGACTGAAAAAAATCATTTCCTTCCCTTAAAATAATCAAAACATTAATATTTCATTCGATTAATAACACGTTGGCATAGTTGGTAAACGAATTGGTAATAAACCCGTTCGCATAGTTGGTAAACGAATTGGTGATAAACCCATTCACATAGTTGGTAAACGAATTGCCAAGGAACCCGTTGACAAAGTTGGAAAACGAATTGCTGATGAACCCGTTCACATAGTTGGTAAACGAATTCCCAAGGAACCGGTTCACATAGTTGGTAAACGAATTGCTGATAAACCCGCTCGCATAGTTGGAAAACGAATTGCCAAGGAACCCGTTGACAAAGTTGGTAAACGAATTGCTGATAAACTCGTTCACATAGTTGGTAAACAAGTTCCCAAGGAACCGGTTCACATAGTTGGTAAACGAATAGCTGAGGAACCCGCTCACAAAGTTGGTATACGAATAGCTGAGGAACCTGTAATTGTTATACGAATATTGATTTCTGAGTAACAAAGTAATTTTTCATATTATATCAGAGAACGTAATTTGACTTATTTATAACCCGCGTTTCATTTCAACAGGTAGAGACAAAGAACGTTTGGATTGTCTTACATCATCAATTATGAATATGTTCAGTGACTACTTATTGGTGGGAAACGTTGATGTATTTTTTTGAATGAATTTTAAAACCCTCACGAATTCCATTTTAAAATGTTATGAAACTAAAAGAATAACGGAACGGACTACAACAGGTTAACATACTAACGATACATTATTACATCACGTCTGAGGAACTAGGTAGAGCCAGTATTGTCGACTAAAGAAGAACTTGCTTTGGGCTACATTCACCATGGTGACAAATTATATAACGTATATCACGTTGGGGGCAGTAGCTGTCGGGCTAAGGATGAACATGACTCAAGATTTTCACTATGATAATCATCTTCAAATCTGAAAAAAATATTCATTCATAATGACAGGCTACAAAGGATTGTCAAATTCAAGACAGTAAATAATAATATTACAGAGCAAGTGCAATATCAACTGGTGAAATCTTGTTGAATATAATGCTTCATCTAGTCTGTCTATCGAAGGGCATCCCTGGTTCAAGAAGCATTACATTTGCAACGAGTTGCTCGTGTTCAACTTCAAATGAATTTGGTCATCTATGCAGTTGCAAGTCATTCTGAATTTTTGCGAGTTATGTTTCATGTTCACTGATCCCAATTAGCATAAGCCTTCCTTTAGAAACTGGTCTTGCAAGACGTCATTATATACCTTATTTCTATATTTGTTCATCAGAGATAAAAAAAATTATATAATATTATTACCAAGAGGCACATCGTTGAATATAAGATGACCAACACTTGTACAGAGATGAAATAAAATCAACTATAGTTTTACGTTTTACACTAGGTTGGGCTGAGGAAGACAGGCAATACTATGCAGTGTACATTGAGGGAAATATTGTTATAACAGTTACATTTGCCTATGTATTCTTCCACATGAACGGAAATCAGATTTACCTCCGAAATGTTTTATGCCCTTTTGGACAAATTAAACGGAGGCAACGATCTGTAGCCGTCCAGAAATGAACATAAATAAATCATAACAAACCAAAATATTTGTTTATTTGATTACAAATGACGACAGTGGAAATATTATTGTATCTACACACGCCATACTAGATCAGTTGTATGTAAATTATTGAATATAATAACTGTTTGAAGTAGGCATGAATGATAAAGAAACACCTGCCAATGTAAGATATTGGTAAGTAGAGGTTCGCATGGAAAGGTAGAAGGGCAAAGAACAAAAACGTGGGTCTTTTTTCGTACACCTTGTCGAATTCTTGGAATCTAAGGATATGAGTACATATTGTATGCTGTATCAGACAAGAAGTCAAGACTTCATGTTTCGTATTTTCTCATTTATTACTTCTTGAATCTATATATTCTTCCATTGTGTCCAATTCATGCTGGTTTTATTAACGTTATCATTTTCAACAACTTTTGGTGAAAGTTTGGCCCATTTGTCATGTTTATCTAATTCCAAATCAAATGAAAAAATGTAGATAAACCGACGCCGATCTAGACCATCTCTGCCAATATCTCAAGGAAGTATTTTTCTCTATCCTTAACTTATACATGAGGGGAAATCAAACCCCTTCCTTCCCCAAAATATATAGACTTTATTGAATATGTAAAAATACATTTATTTATAAAATATACCCTGAATAGCTCATTGCACATCACAAATTACAAAATAATACAAAATCGACTTCTTTTCAATTTGGCTGATTTCTTGCTGAACTGTTGAGCTTCTTCGTGTAGGTAATCGTCATCATCGTATTCTTCGTCATAAGCCCTCTATAAATACATTGTATAACTTAGTATATAAAAAAGATGGCCAATGTTAATTGCATTGAGGATGTTTCCTGATGCGCGTCAGTACTCAATAAAGTCTACTTACTAAATTAAGGAGATGAAACAATTTGAAAGTACATGTTTGTTTTCTTAAGTTTGTCAAGTCTTTGCATGTCTATCCGGAGCATTTATAGCTTTTATTTAGGTTATCCCCTTTGGCTGTCTATTAATCATGCAATTCCTGATTACGGCGTATTATTGTTTGTTCTTAGAAAATTATCATTGATGCTGTACGCATTCACGTTTGAAGTCAAATTATTAAAACTTTTCTTTCAATTCAGTGAAGCAATACGAACAAGCGCAGACACAAAAATCAGCTCATAATAAGATACCAGAAGTTAAAAGGCTTCATAAAGATTTGTGCACAATATTTATTATATGGTATACAAAACACAAAGGTAGTTATTCAGACTGACAATTTACATGGACATGTTGCCTAGAGTCCTATGAATCCAATACATACTTCACTACACATTTCAGAAATGTATTACAATTACTTACATCTAATACTGTTTTCTTTAGACATGTCTCGTTCTCTTTTAGTTCTGTGTTTGTCTGAAATGACAACAGTATCGGTTATATTTCAATTAGCCGCAGGTAGCATGAAAATCGGACTGTTCAGAGGTCGAACGTAATATTATTTTTCAATAAATTCGATAAAACAGAACAAAATATTCGTCAAAAAAACACTTTTTGAATGGGATTCGTTTGTGCCCGACAGTAGAACACTTAAATCTCATCTGGTGCCCCGTTCCCTCAATCCGCTCATTTTGAAATCTTCTTGATTGGAAGCTTAATTATTTTTTTAAATCAAATTCAGCACTAACTTACAATTTAGAATAATATGTATTGAATTTGTCTTCAAATGTGTCTGGGTTGTAGCTACATTTCAAATAAAATAAAGACATTTCCCTAGAATTGTCTTAAACTTGTTGGAAAATTATTTTCCTTAAAAATTACAGTAATAATACTATCATATCAATATTGAAATTCAGGTTTTATCTGTAAAATTAATTTTAACAATAATCTGAATAAGAAGCAATACCTGAATTTGTTTATCTGTAGACTCATGACTGGCAATAGTAACATTATCATCTTCCGTCGTGGCATCCATTCTTATATATGCAATACGAAGGATATAACATCAAATCTAAAAAAAAACAAAACCAAAAAACCTTTTAATTGATAAATTTCATTTAATATATTGAATCAGCCAGTTTCTGCTCAACCCTAGGCCTGTACATTTCCCCCCGAAATCTACTAGAATATAAGGAAGTACATTTTGTAAACACTCGAAAAATACATGTTATTAGACTGTTGTTAATAAATTGACGCCTTTGTCTCCAAAACTAGCATTGAAAAAATATATTTTTGGATGCAAGTGCACTCTATGCAAAGCTATGATGTTGTCAAAGTTTATTTCGTTGAATATGAAGCACATACTGGTCAAACCAGCAACAGAACAGAACACAACGTGACAATAAAATCGTGATACATAACATTAAAACAAAAACTACTGTTTTGAATTCTCCACGGCCTCTTGTTTGAGCAAAGTAAAAAGTTTTTTGAATTTGTTCTATATTTTTTAAAGATTGAAATATCAGCCTGAAAATAGTACTGTTAGTATTAGAATATCTTTGCGTTGATAAAAATATAATTTTTGTACGTTTACATTTAAGAGAAACATGTTTGCTCAGACAATGTTTTTGTGGTGTGTTAATGCGAAATTCACTGTCCGACCACAAGGTATACAGAATTGAATTTCACCAATCTTGAATGGATAAGGGGGCATTTTCATTCAAAATTGTGGGTTATTTAAGGATAATTTCTGGCAGGAACCAAAGACATTCGAAGTCCATGAGCATATATATATCTTAACATTTGTTAAATGAGAGAGAGAAAAAAAATCAATTCTAAGCTCACTGAGGCACGCGATATAATAGTATTAAATCATATTAAATGTAAGATAAAAATATATTTTGTCACATGGACCACCACGTTTCTACAAGCTAGTGCCATATCTAATCAGACTAATGAATTAAATTGTGACGATGACTTATTAAACACCTCAAAGGATTATACAACAACAGAATTAAATACATCTACCCCTTCATATTACAGCATATTATTGGCCTCCATCAGGCCGATCCCTGCTTGTTTATCAGTTGTTGCTATTGACATTTTTCTAAATACAAAGGGACATAACTCAGAAAAATTATCCTACGGACCAAATTGTAATCTCGTCGGTCGTTATACACTGTATATGCCTACAAAAAATTTGTTGTCATTATGCACACGAATTAATGAAACCACCCTTTAAAATAGCTGGAAATCGAAAGGCAAAGCCTAGTAAATATAGCAAAGCCCTGGCACTATAAAATTAGCTTTTTCAAAAGTATTATGTGTATTTAGCTTTGGCATAATAAATATTAGCTTAGAGTAACTATGAAAAAAGTGTTTTCTTTTGACGAATAATATTAGCTTTGAGTACGGTGCTGAAAAAGGTGTTTTCTGTTGTGAGAAAAATGGTGCTGTCTGTTGTGAGATAAACATTAGCATTGTGTATGATGCTGAAAAAGGTGTTATCTCTTGACGAATCTTAGCTTTGAGTATGATATAAAAAGTGTTGTGTAATGTAGACTATTAAACCGAAGTTTGCTTATAGAACAGTTAAGGCAATACTTACTGCGCTTTAGTCAATGATTAGTACGTACATAAATCGGAAAGTTATTCAGTATGAATTTTGCTGTCTTAGTGTGGTCTTGATTATATACAATCGAACAGAAAACCCGGTTGCCCCCCTTTTAAAATGTCTGAAAATAAGCCACGTCTTAGATTCTTGCAATTGTATATCGCATGTATGGTTTTCCACACAAATATTGTACGTCAGAACTTACTTGCAAAAACATCCACTGCAGGCTAGCGAAAGTACTTACTAACATGGGCTCTGTACAATAATGCATAATTCGGTTGCATTTCTTCATCTACTGATTTTTGTATTTTGTCTATCCTGAACTCTCAAGTAGTCTTTGTTGGTTAACAGAATAAAATGGAAAATCTTCAAGAAACGTTTGAGAAAGCCTC